GATTTTGAGGACAAGGGGCATGGTTGAAAAGGTAGAGCCCTTGCTGACTAAGCTGAGGCCCTGAGTTCAAACTCCAGTACTGCCAACAAAAGAGCTAAATGAAGCAAATACACACACACACACACACACACACACATATGCAAATTTTGGGGCATGGCTCAGGGTGGCAAGCACAAGACCCTGAGTTCAAACATCAACACCCACAACCAAAAAAAAAAAAAGAAAGAAAGAAAGAAAATGACAAAAAGAAGATATATAAAAGATTTCGAAGATTTTTGTCCCACTTAAAACATATAAATTCCATCATTTCTTAACAGAGATTATAACTGGGGTTATTTTCAGAATAATATATAAAAGCTGTTTCACTGCATTATAAGCAAATGAATAATGTATGTTAAAGCATTGAATTTATGGAAAAAAGTCCTGGAAAATATGTTTTTTTGTGTGTTTTATTCTGCATGGCTTGAACAAAAAAGTTAATGTTTACTATCTACTTTTGAAAATGAAAGTTATTTTGTAACTAAATTCAAATAAGAATTTTAGGGCATACATTTCTATGATCACATACAACATTAAAGAACAAATAGATGCCCAGAATAGACTTTAAAAATTTTTGTGTATATGAATAAAAGAAAAAAATTCTTGTGTAGACTTATATATGATCATATGCATTGAAAAAACATAGTTTATTCATACCACTCAAACAAAACTAAAAACCATCTAACTCTTACAAGTTTGAAAGCCTGATTATTAACTCAGTATAAGGATGAGAAAGTATTTCTTAACTGGCATTTTGGAAATTTTATTCAAAACTACATGGTAATGGAGTTATTACCTTATAAGCAGTTACATCAACTATTTTTTAAAATGAGTCTATATTTTCCAGTTCATATAATTAAATGTTACACTTTTCATTTTCATTTATTGTGAAATAGAAAAATGAAATCAAATTTACATAGATACATGTACAATTAAGCTTAAAATATGTCAGTATTTTTTAAAAAATAAATTAAGTTTATTACTTTATTTATACTGTGTTTAGTCCATAAAAAGCAAAAAGGATTTGATGATTGGGCACTCATTACCCTTATTTACCCTCTAAAGTAGAAATTACTTCTATCTTTTCAAAACCTTTGAGAAAAAAGACAAGTGTATGAAATACTCCTGGAGGCATGCAGTTAAAAAAGGATGTCCCTTTCCTGCTCAGTCTACCATAAACCTATAAATAGAGATTATACACAGTTTGTGGAAACTACTGTATGGAACTAATCAAGCACTGGCTTCTTAGCATAAAATTGCAACAAAATGTCTCCAAATCTGCATATGGCAAAAGAAACTATTGACATATTATGTTGATATATTATTTGTGGTTGAAATCAGTAATACAATAGAGTGTGTAGGAGTTTGAAAGTTCCTGGGAACTCATCTGAATGAGTCTGTATAGTTAAGAACCTCTTATATTAGTGAAGAGGGAATAAAGACAGGCAGTAGATAATGCTGTCATTAAAAATAGATTTCTACTTTCACCTTTTTCATTCTGAAATACTGAGTTTACTGCTTGTACTATTATACTTTAGTCCTCTACACTTCAATCTCATTTTTAATGTTTGAATTGGCTTTAGGCATTTACCATGTACTTAATTCCTTTGTATTGAAAAGGCCATGCACATACTTCAAAAGAATTTAATCTTCCCAGCATAAGTGCTCTCAAGTGAACTCTGACATGAATCTTGTCAAATTAACCAGCAGAACACTAAATAAGAATATATTCATGTAAACTTTTTTATTTTAGGGACTCTTATTTTGCTGCTGAATACATTTTCTTCTCTGAGAGTATTTTTAAATGACTTTTAGTAGTACTACAAAAATGTGAAAACAGATCTTCAAAGAAAATTGGAAATCAGAAGTCCCCAGCCTCCTTCCCTCTGCACAAGGAAGATTTTTATTGGAAACACCTGTTGAGAAGTCACCTGAGACTTAATGACTAATTCTTGATAAACCACAATTAGCAGTTATTTTTTAGAACTAGTAATGATCTCTGCTTAATATTAGAGTTCATATTAATACATGAAATGATTGACATGGATATTGTTCTAATGGAAAGTGATTTTATGAATTTGTGTAACAATCTATTTGCTTTACAGACCTGTTCTCCTATTCAGTTCATAAAGCTATAAGCTTTAAAATGAATAAAATATTTCGTTATAACTTTGTTATATTATAATTTATACTGTTGTAGCTATTTTAGTCACTAATACATTGTTTAAGCACTTTGTAGGGTGACTTTAATTTGTTTGAGGAACTTCATGAAATTTGATAAAAATAAATAAAACCTCTCCTTCAAAACCTCTGTTTCTTTACCTCATGATTATTTTGTATCCATATTCTGTAAAAAAACACTCTTGTGCCTAAGAGGTTATAGACATCATCCTTAACATTTTAGAGCCCACAAAGTGCACAAAATATTTTGGTGATTAAACAAATCTTAATGTTAGCTGTAATGTGAGTCTTTCAGTTATGAAGTTCCTAGATTTCATATTAAAATATTATATGAGAGTATTGCAACACAATTTTGAAATTTTTTCCAACCCATTGATAGATATGCATAATGTATACCTTCTAAACAGCACACAAGATGCTGGAAAATAAAGATGAACCAGACCTAGCAGGAGTTAGTGGAAATAGATTTGGGGGATGAAAAGTCTACCTGAAGAAATACAAATCACATTACTAGTAGGTTTTCTTTGCAGAACGTATTACTTAAACACACTAACAAACACACTTGAAGTAAGATTATGGGATACCTGAAGGTTTTAAGCATGACACTTAAGTTTCTTTGCAGTAAACCAGTTTTAAAAAAAGAAAAGAGAGTAAATAGCTAATTTACTATTTTCTCCATAAGACGACTCACTGAAAAAGAAATTAACATAAAGCCTGTTTTAGCAGTTTATATTAAGGATATTCCAAGAAAGAACCAATGTGGGAATTTGAACCAATTTGAAAAAAATTTCACAAACTTAAAAGTAAAACTTATCTCATAACTCAGTGGCATGGAATAAGATTTTAGATGAAAAAGAATAGCAAGATAGCTTGACTTTTGCTTTCTTTTAAAATTGTGTGTGTGTGTGTGTTTTGTTTTAACTTAAATTTTACTGCTAATGAGAAGAATCATCATTTTTACACAATGACCAGCTTCAAGGACAGTATATTGTAAATATAGTACAGGCATTACTGTCCCTCAAAACCTCTGGGTATTTCAATTCAAAATTATTCCTCACTAATCTGACCAAGAAATCAGACTTGCTGAGAACTCTACTGTGTCAACTTAATTTTTTACTGGAAACATTAATTCAATCCATAGCATTTATAGTGAAGGATGAAGCATTAACCCTCTGTGACATTGTCTTGTCAGAGGTATAAATACAAGATATAAAATGACTTCATAGATCTAGAAATAAAATATTTCAACTTATCTCTCTCTATAGAGATATTGAGGATTATAAATACCAATTTTACACAGTCACAGAAAAACTACCATAGAAAACACCATTTAAAAAAAAGTTGGAAATTTCTTTTTATGTCTTATATAGACCTCAAAATATTATGATTGCTGATACACAATAAGTGCTATAAATTTGGGATTTAACACTACAGTTGAAACTTTAGTATTCAATTGCAATAAGTATAATGGTCTGTTTTGCAAGCACCTTATGCTATTGTAAGAAAATACATATTATTAAGTAACAGAATATGGAACACTTGTTATGTTAAGAAGGATAAGATTATAAATGTACTACTCTGTTTTAACAATAAAAACATTACTGAGTCAAGTGTCACTTAAAGTTATTCGCTTTTCAAAGCATAATAATATGGACAAATTACTTTTCATTTATCTCAAACTAATCTTCCTCCTGAAGTGTCACTTTCAGTTAAGCTCAATTTTGAATTTCAAGCACTGCTTATCTAGAGTAATTTGTAACAACACATATTCATAATAAGCAAGAGTTAAGTTTTCTTCTGTGACACAACTCAATAGAGAATAAAAGAATCTAGACAGTAACTAGACATAGTCTGCAATGGTCACCTTTTAAAAAAATTGGTGTCCATGCTTTGTCATTTACTTTTTTGCCATATATTAATAACTTTGAATTACACTACAAAATATATTAAATATCATGGAGATACACTGAAAATACATACTATGCAAAATAGAATTAAGGGCAAGTTTGTTTCCTATTTTCAGTAACAGAAAAGGATCTGGTGACACATTGTTCATTCCTCAATGACTCCACGATACACAGCAGGAAAACAAACAATTTTTTCGTGGATATTTACTGGTCACTATCCCCAGCCTGCATATATGCAAACTTTTGAAAACACTTCAGAGTGTAACTCAAATTACAAAAGTTTATTATGCTTATGAATTATGCTGCAGCTTCAGTTGTAGATTAAAGGAGATTCATGCTCCTAAAAACATTTTTAAAATATAAAACTGACTTTTTAGAGAGTGAAAACTTCGTTCAAATTGGTCCAAGCTCTAGAATTCTAGTAGTTGCTATTCTGTACTTCAAAAAGTTAACTTAAATTGTGGGCATGAAATTTTCATTTTTGATATCAAAAAAATTAATGGAATTAAAATTTCTTTAAAAAAATATTTTTTTCTACGCTGGTTATCCAGTTACAGAAAAAACGTAGAGAAACAAAGCAAATAAAATTTGAATATTGAACCTACTATCACTTTCGAACTATAAAAAATAAAATTTAAAAAATGCAAAAGAAGTAAGATATATACGTACTCTTGTAGATTTGAGACTATATTGGGAGGGTTTATGTGTAGAATGTGATGAACACACAATGTCAAAAAGTGTAAACCATTTTCATTTAAAAACATTTCCTTTCTCACTGCTGCTGGCAGTGTGGCTTGTCCTTTTCCAAAGGTTTCAGGACAGCTCCAAAGCTAGTGATAAGGTGAAGTTCCAGTTATGCTAAAAGTTTCCTACCTGAATTATGGACATCCGAGTGGCGGGGGTCTCGCTCGAATTAGTCCCTTGTCCGGTGAAGCTGGTGTGGCAGCCTGCGTGCCCCTGGGGGACAGTCAGGTTGTTGGAGGCTGGTTTAAGATACATCACCTCCGATCGGGGTGAGCTGAGGGGCAGGCGGGTTTGGTAGTCGAAGTACATGGGGGAGGTGGCCAGGGAGGGACTGCTCACCACGTTCATGACGTTCATGGCGTTCCTCTCCTCCACCTCGCTCTGCACCAGCATGATATCATTTTTGTTGATTTTCTTCTTCTTGCCCTTTCCCCCGCCCAGCTGCGGGTGGCTGTACTCAGCGATGCGGCAGTTGTAAGTGCGAATCTCCTTGTTCTCGCGTTTGCACTTGACAGCGATGGTGATCATGGCCGCTAGGAGGATGATGGAGATAGTGCTCAGAGTCACGATGAGCGGCAGGGACACGTCCCAGTGGTGTTGCTCGCCGTTCACTCGAGGCACTCCCTCGGGCAGGGAGCCGCTCACAGAGCGAATAATGAGCTTGGCCACTGCGGACAGGGTGGGCTTGCCGTGGTCTGTCACCTTCACCACCAGTTCTACTACGGGTGTCACGTCCTCCCAGAAAGGGTGCAGGGTGCGGATCTCGCCACTGGACGGGTCGATCTCAAACAAGTGGTCGTCGTTGCCGTCCACAATCTCATAGGTGAGACGCCCGCTCTCGCCAAAGTCGCTGTCCAAGGCGCGCACTGTGCTCACCAGGTAGCCCAGGCCAGCGTTGCGTGGGACCTGCAGCTCCGCCGTGTCGTTCTGCAGCGTAGGCAGCACGATCACTGGTGCATTGTCATTCACATCTAGCACCGTCACCCTCACCGTGGCGTTGCTCTCCAAGTGCGCGGGCGCTCCTGAATCTTTAGCAAGCACCTTGAACTCAAAAGCTTTAGTCTGCTCATAGTTAAAGGAGCGCAGAGCGTATATGGCTCCATTCGTGGGGTTTACAGACACATAGGTGTAGATGGACACATCGCCGATGTGAGAGGGGAGAATGGAGTAGGACACTGTGCCGTTTTGGCCCAGGTCGGGGTCCTGGGCGAGCACGGAACCCAGGTATTCTCCTGGAATATTGTTCTCATGCACTTGAAGCACATACAGCCCTTTGGTGAAACGAGGAGGGTTGTCATTCTCGTCCAGAATCTTGACTGCAAACGATTTGGTGGAATTGAGTGGAGGCGAACCTCCGTCCCGCGCAATGATAGTCACGTTGTATTCGTCCTGTGTCTCGCGGTCCAATGGACGGTCAGTCACCACGGTATAGAAGTTGTCATAGTTCTCCTCAAGCTTGAAGGGGACAGAACCCCCGGGCCCACCAAGGCCACCACCGCTGCCTGTCCCTCCTCCACCCAGGACTCGACACTGCAGTTGCCCATTTTTGCCCGAGTCTCGGTCAGTGACCCGAACCAGGGCTATGACTGTGCCGGGCGGGGCTGCCTCGCTCAGCGCCCCCTGGCGCACGGAGACGAAACCGATGGACGGCGCGTTGTCGTTGCGGTCGATGAGCTTGACTGTGACCTTGCAGTGGGCCGGGATTGGGTTAGGTCCCAGATCTCTGGCCTGCACGTCGATCTCCAGCATCCCGTTCTCCTCATAGTCCAGGTTGCCCTTAACACGGATCAAGCCGGTCTTCGGGTCGATGGAGAAGAGCTCCCGCACGCGGTCGGGCACGTAGCTGCTAAAGGAGTAGAGCACTTCACCATTGGGGCCCTCATCAGCGTCGGTGGCGTTCAAATCAATGACCACGGTTCCCAACGGGGCATTCTCGGGCAGTTCCACCAAGTAGGATGGCGCCTCGAAGACCGGACTGTTGTCGTTAGAGTCGATCACCTTTACGTTGATCTGCACCGTGGCGGAGCGCGGCGGCTCGCCTCCATCCAGGGCAGTCAGCACCAGTGTGTGGTGGTTCTGCTGCTCGCGGTCCAACGCCCTTTGAATAACCAGCTCTGGGAACTTGGTGCCGTCGCCGCGGGATTTTACGTCCAGTGCAAAGAGGCCGTGGTCATCGCGCGTGAGCAGATAAGTGCGGAGACCGTTTTCCCCCGCGTCTGGGTCATGAGCACTGGTAAGTGGGAAGCGGGTGCCGGGAGCTGCGTTCTCCGAAATGTCCATTTCTATCTGGTCCGAGGGGAAGGAGGGAGCATTGTCGTTGATGTCCTGAATTTCTACCTTGATCATACAGATTTCCTTGTCGTTGGCGAACACCTCCAGAGACAGCTGGCATTTGGCATTGTGGCGGCACAAGGACTCACGATCTATGCGCTGCTTGGTGTAGAGGAGCCCGCTATCGGCGTCCACGTCCAGCAGGTGCGGCGCGGAGTTCTCCAGCACCTGGTAGCTGCCGGATTTGCTTCGCCCGCCGCTGCCACCGCGCTCAGCCGGGGGAATCCCGGGCTGCAGTCGAGCATCTTTGCCGATGTTGCCGATCACCGTGCCGGCCCCTTGCTCCTCCGGCACTGAATAGTTGAGGTTTTTGAGTGTCAGGGCAGGGGCCCATAGAAGAAAGCAGCAACAGATGGAAAGGTACATCCCAGACCGGTGGGGTGGGGGCAGGAGCAGCCGGAATGGAGGGGCGAACGGATGGGTGCGCGCCAGCCTAGGGCCCGGGAGGAGCTTGCGCACGCGAAGCCAGCCACAAGTCTGTAGGTCCTTCCTTCCCTCCGCACCAGGGCTGCGGCACCAAGCAGTCTCTCCTTATTCCGCTCAAGTTCCCCGAACCTGTTGATCTACAGCATCCGCACTGGGCTAAGATTAGCGGCAGAGAGGAGCTGCAGAGGCTCGGAGCAAGGCGGCGGCTCCCTGCAGTTCAGGGCGAGCCCGAGGCTTTGTCTCTCCCGCCTGGACTTCAGAATGTTCAAACTTGCGCGATGACGCCGGCGATAAGAAGGAAATCGAGTCTGGGAGGGATGATAATGAGCTCAAGAATCCGTAGGTTTTCCTCGCTCCCGCTAGGGCGCTGCAAATCCACTCCCGCCGGTTGCCTACGGAATACTCTTCACATCGGGTGGGGGAGGGTTTGGGGAGGTGTGTCTCCAGGCAGATCGGAAAGTGAAATCCTTACTTGTTACACGTTTCCCTTGATGAAATTGATGAGAATGAGGAACAACGACGAAAAGAGTCACAGACAATTTTTGAAGCTTCGCCGGTGCACTGTGAAATGTCTGCTTCCTGCTCAGGCTAGTCAGTTTTCAGGCAGTGTTTTGCTGCATTTAGAAATCTAATCTTGCATTGCTGGCTGTGGCAGCAGCAGCGGCGGCCGATTGCATCTCCCAGCCAAGCGTATTTTTTTCTTATTTCTTTCTTTCTCTCTCTCTCTCTCTCTCTCTCTCTCTCTCTCTCTCTCTCTCTCTCTCTCTCTCTCCTCTCTCCTTTCCGAGCAGCCAAAGGGAGGGGAGGAAATGCAGCGCAAAGAACTAGTGTCCCGATTTGTAGTTTCCTCCCCCTACCAGGCTCCTCCCTCTCTTCCTCGGGAAAGGCTTTCCCCCAAATCAAGAAAGCCACAGCCTGATCAGCTTTTGCGGTGTGAGTCTATTGGGAGGGGAAAATATACAGATATATCTCTCCGCCTCTGTTCGTAGAACACACTCTTGTCTCTATGCCAAGACAGTAGCCACCACTACCATCCCATCCTCTTCCTGTGATCAAGGACTTCTCTCCTTGCAGTTCTAATTCCAGTTTGCTTTTCTTCCCAGGCGAAAGGAAATCAACAGGCAACTCATGGTTGGACGTGCAGATTTGAAGGGGGGAGGGGGAGGCAGAATAAAAAGGAAGGGGGAGCCACCCACCCAGTCCTCGCACACACACTCTCCCTGTCTGTTGGATAGAAGGGAACACTCTGCATTCACAGGGCTGGGCTGTCAAGTGCCTCTCTTTTCTTTCTATTCAGCATCTCCTTCCAACGGCTCAGCCTCCCAGTCCTCTTCATTTAGAAAGGAAAACCTTGGCGAAAAATAAAAGTGAATATTTGGAGAGAATAAAGTACAGGGTTCCCCCCCAAACACACTCCCTATTTTCTTTTTTAAACAGTAAGGGGAGTGGGCTGGATGAAGGAAACGCATCGAGGTTTGGCGTGATGCATTCTGCAGTCTCGCTCTCTCACAGTCTCTCGGGTGGACTGGGGGTGGGTGGCCAGGGGGTGCAGAGCTGCGGTCCAGGCAAGGTCCTGCCAGGGGTGCCCACCTCGGGAAGCTAGCTACCTTCAAAGGGAGGTCAGGCACAGCTTGGTCTACACATTATTTTGGGTTCTCAAGGCGCCTCGAAATACGGGAATGACACATCCAGAAATGCAGGTGTTCTGATCTGCGGGATGAGTCAGAAGCGGTGGAACGAATCGTATTCACTCTGGCCTCACGGTCCTCCCTTCACAGACATTAGTTGCGGCTTCTTCCTAACGCTTTCTCTGACTCACTCAATAGAAAGAAGAAGAAAAAAAAAACAGATTCATATATTGGGGTGGGAAAAAAAAAAGAAAATGAATACGAGGAAAAGGGAAGGGGGGAGCAAGGCGAAGCTGATTCCAGCAGCACTTTTACTCTACCTCTTTCTGCAGGAGTCCGAGTCTCTGGAAACAAGGCGTCTGCTTTCCTAGATGTATGTATGTATGTATTTATTTATTTTAAAAAATAACCTTTCCTCTTGGTTAGGCTTGAGGCACCCCAAAACCTTTCAGAGTCTTAAAAAAAAAATCACGTTTCCAGTAATGATTCACAGCTTAGCCCCGAATCATAGTTCAAGATTTTCCTCTCAGTGTTCTCTATTCACAAAGTCCAGCATCGGTGTGCATAGCTAATTGTGCAGTCTGTTGTGAAGGGCTTTTTTTTTTTTTTTAATTCCTCCTTTTTCTGTAACGGGTGGTCTCTTTCAATCTGGTTCTTGTCAGGATCACCCCAAAGCCTGAGAAAGACGTGCGGGTTTCAAACCAAATAGATCCATCTCCGCAAGCACAGCCGCGGAGGAAATACAAGGTGAAAATTCAATTCAACAGTTGGAGTAGCGTCTGTCTCCCCAGCCGCCCTCCGCTGCTGTCGCATCCGCCGGGCTCGCAGTCCCTGCTCTCTCCCCAGCGTCTCTTGCTGACTGACTCTATTCACCTCACGCCGCCGCTTAAACATTGATACTGATTTCCTGCCAGCCAATCCGCGCCAAGAGCCAGGCCCTGCCTCCTCGGCCCACGCCCAATGGGAGGCGGAGAAGAGGCTGGCGGGGGCGGAGCCAGGAGCCCAGCGCTTTAGAGTCATTGATTAGATCAGTTAGATGGGAAACCAAGCCCAGCTAGCGCAGCATGCGCTACGCCTTTGGCAGTGGCGCCGAGGGCTTCGCCGCCGGTTCTCCTGGGTCTTTAACTCGTGGGAGAAGTGCAACCACTGTCTTCCTCCGGAAAAGAAGAATTAAAACAAAAAAAGTTTGACAGCGTTTTAATTTTTTTTTATTTGTCGATTACACTCGGGAAGAGGAATAGCAGCAAGCATGCACAATTAGGCAGCTGCGATCTTCCTGATGGATTTCGGTACACACACATACACATACGCACGCCGCCATCGCACACACGCCCAGGCCTGGGGAGGTGCGGATTTCCTGACTCTCCGCGGACCCATGTGAGTGAGGGTGTGAGTGTGTGTGTGTGTGTGTGCGCGCGCAAGACTTGCCGGGTGCCAGGGAGCAAACACGCCGCCGGCTACAGCAATCACTATGTAACTTTCTTCATCCTCGGAGAACTATCAGCTGTCCCCAGGCACCCACGCAAGGAAAGTCACTTGATTATGAAAGTGTTTCAGAAGAAACGCAGACGCCTATAGAAGGAGAGGCCTTGTCTCTTCAGAGAAAAACAACCTTTCTTTTAAGAAGAAAGGCTCTCACAGTCAACAAAATCTTTTTAGCTTGTTAAAACTCAAGTCTGGCTAAGTAATTCTTAGGGTTTTACCCTGTCATTTCTCCCCTCCCATCTCAGACCAGCTTCCAGGTAATCCGAAGTCCCCTCCGCCCCGCACTCCCTACCCAATGCACAAGAGGTTTTGTGTGTGTGTGTTTAGTTCACTTCCATCCTTGTTAATAAGGTTCCATATGGCAATCTGGATTTTTATCTTGTTAAGACCAACTAGCCACTGATACTCCACATTTGCCAAAAATCCCATGCATAGAAGTTGAGTTGTAAAAAACATGATAAATCGGTAGGGAATCTTTACAGATTCCTGTTTTATAACTAAACACACACATACACTCCAAATTCCTCCTCTTCTCCAACTTCAGTAATATCAAAGATTCTTTTTTCTCAACTATCATCCCCAACATCCACAAGTGAAGACTGGTTTGCTCTAGATCCAGCCATTCTGGGAAAGAGTTAAGGCAAAAAATAAAATTGAAGTATTGAAATAGAAAAGGTGAGTGTTTTGATTGCTACAATATTGATTGCAATTCATAAATACTGAAGTTAAGTTGCCATTTATAAATTGTGAATGACTAAACGTGCAAATCTGTAACATGAATCATTCAGGATTCAAAGAAAATCAAATCCAGACCAATTACAAGAAACTCCTGAAGAGTGGTGTTGGGATAATTGCTTAAAGATTCAGGTAAAGAAGCTATTTGTTTCCCGGAAGCCTCAATGAGATAGCCTATAGTCTGAATTTGCTCTCTTATTTGTATCCAGATTTATCACTCCCTTAGGACACTCAACAGTTCAAAACATTCAAATACATCCAGACCTTCAAGTTCTAAAATGTCTTTGTCTTATACCCTGTTGCTAACCCAGGAACCTAAGAGTTTTTGTAGGTTTCAGGGTTATTATTGTTGGGCAGTGTGGTTCTTAACAACATCTACTTGCAAATCTCCAGCTTTATTTCACTTTGGGGTTAGTATTTCTGTCTCAAAACATAGACTTTGAAATTGAGGCTTTGTGTCTTTAAAAACAGCACCTAATGTAAACAAAAAAATGCTTCTTCCTTCATTGATTAATGTGGGATAACATTCATAATGGGATCAAACAAAGCCTTGCACATACTTGACAGAAGCTCTCCCACTGAAATATATAGCTAGCCCTATTTATCATTACCTTTTTAATATGACAAATTTACATACTAATTCAAGGAAAGTCATAAAGTATCCTTACTTGAGGTTCATCAGGACACAAAACAAGACAATACAAAATTTGCAAGGAAGGGCATTATGGCTTATTTTTTAGCCTTAATTAGATGTACGGTTGTGCAATTGAAAGGAGATTAAAAACACAGTGTCTAAGAAGAGATCCAATAATATGAAAATGCATCCTCATAGTCATAAATTTGCTCAAACCCCTACAGAGTAATTATGCCATACCTCCCCCTGGTGTACAGAAAAAGAACTGTGCATATGGTGAACACCACAGGGCATTCACAGAGTAGAAATAAAGCAAATATTGTTCTTATATTTTACTTAACTTGTAGTATTGAATTTTGTTGCTGAAGACTGACATGCACCCAAACGAATTAATTTTGTCTTTGTGTTCCATACTTACTTATCATATTTTATTTTTACACGAAATAGACTCGACATTCTATTCATGGTTTGGCTTACTTTTTAAACAGATATGATAATCACATTTAATTTTTAATCATCTAAGTCCTATCTTTTCCCTCAAAAAAATTTTATGTTTATAATACAGCAATTGAAGACTGCCTTTTTGACTATACTTAAAATATTGAACTCAATTTTTTTAAAAAAAGAGTTGATACAAACAAGGTTAACAGTTCAAAAATCCTATTGGTTTTTATACCATAGAACACTATAGACATATAACATCAAGTTAGGGAATGTAGAAAATAGCAGTGTGTATAAGTAAGGATGTCTCACACTTCTCAAGAAGAGCCTGATCAATAATCATTCAATAATTATAAATCATAATTTCAACTTGAAGCCAAAATTATATTATTCTTTTTAAAAATACACATATACCTAGCAACTAAAGATTTTGCATTATGATTTGAAATCTATGTGTGCACACTCATTAATTAGTATTTGGAAAGACATATAACATCTGTTTAAAAATACTAGTCTAGGTGAGTTTTGAAAATAAACTGATGGATATGTTAGAATGGCTTCAAATAGAGAAGTACTAAAGTCTATTTTTATAGACTGATAAAGAATTACTAATACTGAAATATTACTGTAAGGATTGAATTAATAACATTATTACCAAAGAATAATCTTAAAATGCTATTTTGTGAAATTTTACATAATTTATTTAATTTTGTCTCAGAGACAGCACTTAAAATGTGTATTAACTAGTTTTAGTTGGAATTTTGAGAGTTTACACATGTAGCCAAAATGGTAGCAGTTGTAACATTCTTCCACTTCTT